CCGATATAAATGTTTTTTCACTCATATTCCTAGAGTGTCTGAATTCAATATATTAGTTTAAATAGCTAGGGAAAAAAAGTCTGCTTGGTTAATTTAACTCAGTGTTAATCTGCTTAAATGAAGTTACATCCTTTAATGCTTTTGTTGTAACATGGAGGAAGGAATTTACCTCCCCAATGCATCGGGGAGGGACTACAGAATTTCCCATTTACCAAACCACTAAGAAGTAAATTAATCAGTGAAGTACCAGTGTTCTTAAAAAGATCTATGATGTGGATATACTCTGAAAACAGGATGGAAAGATGACAGAAATTCTGTTTTAAAACAAGCTGTCTGATTACAAGAGGCATTAGAGGATCCTGGAGAGGAAGTGCTAAATTCCCAAAGAGGAGTGAGTGTGCTAATTCTGATGGGAAGCAGATTCAATAAGGTAGTAAGATTTGTTGAACCCCCCAGAGATTACTGCAAAGTGCTATTGACCTTTTTATGTTGTCAGTGATAGAGAGAACTCTTAAGAAAAAATAAATCACTATGTTTATTTCCCACCTTATTTCTACCTGCAAAGCATAATAGCATAATAGCAGTTAGAAGATAAAACAGTCTTTTAAAAAGGTAATTAAATTGACTAGTTTTGTGACAGCACATTTTTAAATTGTCCTGAATTTTTTTATTTACTTCTGTAAAAGTTATAAAACATTAAAAAAAACAGAAAAACAACATGATGAGATTCAAAGATAGCCTAGCTCTATTCCAGAACTTTAATACTTGTAGTACAGGAAACCTGTAATATCATCACATACTAGCAAGAATTTATTGTTCTCTGAGTTTTAGCACACACAAATTTAGCTTTCCTTCCTTACAATTTCCACACAGCCCTTTCCCTAACTTTAATTTGGCAATTGCATCCTATTCATATCATAAGTGTGAAAATTTTTGTCAGTTTATACCAGGGTACCATCTATTTATGACAACTCTCGTTGCCATAAAATGACAAGATAAGAAATATGAAACACATTCCACTGTAACAATCTTCTTTCACCAGTCAACAACATCACCATCATTTTCCTTGAACCGTTAAATGCCCATAATAACACTACTGTAGGACCAGATCACAAACTGTCTTAAGACATCAACACCAATTAGGATGACAGGAGGAGAGCACTATGTCTAGATAAAGGCATTATTTATTGTTAGGTGCCAAGATGTGATGATGTCATTCTGTGACCCATCCTGCAAGTAAACAATTGACATACTTTTCTATTAAACTGGTCCCTGAATTCTAAAATAACCAGTTTAATTGCATAAAAGAGTTTAATCTTTATCAAACAGATGAAAACTGAAATAATTCAAAAGATTCATTTAATAAATATACTTTGGTTCCTGTTTCCAATTGGCAATTTTAAGAAGACAAGCTCTAAGTTCAAACAGTTCTATTTTTTTTCCATTTTATCGCTGTTACTCACTTAAAATCCAATTATGCCATGCAATAGAACACTGAAACTATCAAACACAGGTTGAAAGGTGGGTTTTAAATATTTCTGAACATTCAAGAGGCAAGGATCTTCAAAAATGGTGAAATATGGTGAATGGAAATTATTTATTTCCTGCTCCTGCTGTTTTCAAGTGGAAAGAGCTTCAGGTAAACTCCCTGGCTCTTCATTCACTCCTTCATAAAGAGTCAAGAGGTCTAGGAGAAGAAAATGAACTTTCTGAGCTTTTTCATTGCTTCCTGTAGGATCTTTCTGCTCATAAAGTTCATATGTTTTCTGCTCATTAAATGATTAAAAAAATAAAAAGGAACTCAATTGTTTCTTTGTAATTATGGCATTGAGTGGGAAAAATCTGTTCAACAGAGGAATAACTTTATAGCAAATCCTCTTGCTCACAACCCTCAGCCACATTTATTTGAAAAGTACTTCCAGCACTAAGAAAGCCAACGTTTTGATGTCTCTACTCAAGACACTACACCCAGCATAGCCAAACAGACTGTCCTGTTCACTCCTTCTAATAGGAAATTTTACAGAAGAGGCACTTATGTTGTAGAATTTCAGGGTCTTGCCTTAGGCCAGTGGCTCTCCAGTGGCAAAGCAAGAACATCTGAGCCTTCTCTGCCTTTGTACCATAGAAACATAGAAACCTAGAAAAGTGCACAGATTTGAGCAATCTTTGACACATAGTAGTTAAATGATTTGCCAGAGAGAGGATGAGCAAGAGAACTTATCTCTTTGCTTTCACAAATCTTGTATTTCAAAACTCCAAAAAGCTCACAAAGGTCCATTTGAAACAGTTGTCTGCTGTGTAACCAGTGCAATTTATCATAAAGGCAGTACATTTTTAGCTAGTTGTCTTTTAGTTTAATAAATAAGGGAATCACTGGACCTCTAATGTTCGATTACAAGGCAATTTGAAAATTCATTTAAGAGTCAATTTGTCCCACAAAGCTAGGCTTAAAACCAAAGAGAAACAGAAAGAAAGACTAGCTGTTAACATCAGGTTAAGTATAAGCATAAAATTGATATATCTAAAAGGACAATTTGTTAAAATTATTAACATACAATATAGATGTTTTAGCCATGTAAATTATATTTATCTAAAATTTTTGAATATGCATGAGTTTTAAAATGTTTATTCTAAAAGCAATTCCAATTCTCTATTAATGGAGAATGGTATTTTACAAAATGATTATTTTTAAGTATGTGAAACTTTGAGGAACTGTTTTCCTTTTTTAGTGTCCTAGATTGTAGTTAGAAATCCATAATGCAATATCAATAAAAGATTTATATCACAGAGGCATTTGCATGGAATATTCATTCTCTCTCTCTCTCTCTCACATACACACACACACACATACACACACACACACACACACACACACATGCACACACACACTAACACAGCCAAGAACAATAACAACTGCAACAAATGAACTGATTTTCCAATTTTCCAGGAGCAAATCATTCACTGAATTACAGTGAATTTATACCTATACATTCTATAGATTTTGATATCTGTAAAAGAATATTGGGGAACAGTGAGATATAAAACTGAGATAAAATGATCATAAAAATGAAACAATAGATCTCTAGTATACACTTCAAAATTCTTTGTAATACATTTTTTAATACATTGAAAATACCAGATAAAATAGACAGGTAGACAAATAAAAAACAATTTGAACTTCAATATTCTTGAAGTTGCCTGCAGACATAAGGAAAAGGTTGCTTGAAGAAAGAGCTTATTGAGGAACACATATTGACATAAATCCAGGGTAATTATTAGAATAACACATGTGTACTATAAAGCAATCATAAAAAACACACTTTAAAGCTAGGCGCGGTGGCGCATGCCTGTAATCCCAGCCTCTTGGGAGGCTGAGACAGGAGAATTGAGAGTTCAAAGCCAGCCTCAGCAACTGTGAGGCACTAAGCAACTCACAGAGGCCCTGTCTCTAAATAAACTACAAAATAGGGCTCAGGATGTGTCTCAGTGGTGAGTGCCCCTGAGTTCAATCCCTGGTACCAGAAATAAACAAACAAACAAATAAACAAAACCTCACATTTTAAATTATTAAAATATCCACATTTTAATATTAATATGTGCCTTTAAAGATAATGCAATAAGTAGTAAGATCACAGATTAATTAAATGATTAGCCTATAGCAACTTTTAAAATATGGGAAACTACCTTTCCTATCCTGAAAGGTAGCAGAATACATCAGTCACTAGTATGGCATTATGTAAAAATGTGAATGTGTAACCTATGTGATTCTGCAATCTGTATTTGGGGTAAAAATGGGAGTTCATAACTCACTTGAAACTATTGTTCGAAGTATGATATGTCAAGAGCTTTGTAATGTTGTGAACAACCAATAAAAAAAATAAAAAAATAAAAAAATAAAATATGGGAAACTAAACCTTGCACACTATCACTGCTTTGTTAATGATATTAGTGCTATACTTGAGCACTTTACAGCAATTCTGCAAATTCAACCATAACTTAAAATATCATTAATATTGCCCAAGATGTTTAGGTTTAATTAAAATTTCAGTTGAAAACTAAAATATTTCCTTCACTGTTTCTAGACCATTGACTTGTACATCAGTTTCACTCATTAATCACCAGTTGAAAATGATTTGGATATGTGTAATGAAAAGAGAAATTTAGATACATGGTTACAACAATTTTGACTACTTGGATCAAAAACAAAATCTTCTCATAGTTCATATTATATTTTAAGGTTCTTTAAAATAAATCTCTAAAATATTTAAAACCTCGTTGAGGGGGAAAATGTATTTTTGTTTCTTCATTTGTAGTTCTATCTTTAACAAAAAGAGTGGAGTAAATCATAGTCTTCTTCCCCCAAAACTAGACCCCAAATTTGACCGAGGTTGACACTTTTGGAAAATGCCTGGTGGTTCTCAGAAGAGAGACTGGAAATCCTTTCTTGCACCAGAAAGCCCTAGAACTCCCGCCAGGTGCTTTCACCAAGAGCTCTGTGGTTCTGGACCCAGATAAGAAACCACAAAAGGGAATGCTCAAGATGAAGACTCTGATATACAAAGATCATTGTTTGGGATCACCACGGATGAAGACAGAGAACAGTTTAGAAAACTTGCTAGCATCTAACACTCCCCAAAGAAATCCAACAAAGTTATAACAATAGGGCCCTAGAGATGGGTCCCCCTGACCCCGCGCCCAACACTAAGGTTAATAAAACTCCCTCTGGTCTCCAGCGGGTACTTATTCTGTAAACATCTGACCACAGGCGTGCACAGTGCCGAGGGCCTGGCTCAGTGAAGCCCCTGATGTCCTCCTGGTCATCCTCCAAAGACATTGCCCGGGGAAAGAGGAAGGGGCTGGGAGAAGGTCAAGAGAGTAAATCGCAAAATCTAAGGTAACCGCTCCTGAACCCTAAACTGTATCCAAAGCCAGATGTGGGCCCCCTGACAGGTGTCTTGCCCCCAGTCCGAATCCCAAACCAGCCTGATCCGCGAACTTACATGCTCATCGCGAAGGGCAGAACAGACCCCTGGCAGCCTCTGGAAACAGAAACCACCAAACCCGCCTTCAGCAACAGGTTATGTCCCCAGTCTGGTGCCGGTACTTCTTGTCTTTGGGCTGCTCAGCCGCAGCCGCCGGCGCCAGACCAACTGAGTGCAGCGCGCGCGCAGCCCACTCCCAGCCCCTGGCTCCCCGGCTGCACCGCTGCGGGGCTGGGTGTTGGATGCTCTGGGCTCCTTCCCCTCCTTCTAGTCCCTTTTAGATGAAAACGTCACTCTCCAGAGGGCACCAGCCAGCCACTAGGATTTCAAAGAAGCTATTCACATTCTGCTAAAGAGCATCTGGATACCTGCTTGTGAAATTCAGAATAGTGGGCAGCAAAGGAAAGGAAGCAGCTCTGGGACACGTATGATGCTCTCAGTAGTTTTCTTGGCTCAAAATCCATTCAGTCTCTCTGCGTCTGTTTCCTCATTTGCAAAATAGAGATATTGACGATGTTAGTTAGTAGATAATCTGAGACTTAAATGAGAGTCCACATGCAAAAGTGCCTGGAAGGGTCGTGATACCATAGTAAGCATTCACTAAGTCATTTTTAAGGTTCTTATAGGAAGGAGAGATTCATGGCAGATTACAAACCAAAACAACCCACCCCCTGAAGTGGACTGTGTTTTGTGAGTGTTGCAAGCTGCCTCTTAGTTTCTAAGAAACCTCTCTGGGATTCTACAAATGTGAATTTGTATCATAATTAGAAGTAGAAAGGAGAGAGCCAAGGGGAAACATGTAGTAATTCTAACACAACAAAATTTGCTTGGATGGAATTTGCTAATAAGTCGTGCTTAAAATATAATGCATGAACTTACAGGTTTATACAATTACTAAGAAGATGAAAATTAAAGATACTTTGATAACAAGGATAGTGTCAAGAGTGGGTAACCTGTGAAGAACCTTCCTTTGTGTGTTAGTGTATCTGATACAAACAGTATCTCAGACTTATAAAGAAATAGCATATAATTCTTTTTAATCTGCACACTGGTTCTCCATTTCTCTCACTGTTGCATTTCTCTGCCTAAATCACTATTACATATGGAATAGAAAGAAAAATCAGTCTTTTAAAATAGGATTCCTTGGTTTTGGATTAAAGTTGCAGATTTGGACAAGCCTGCCTTCCCCCACTCCAACTTTGTGTGTGTGTGTGTGTGTGTTTAAATCTAAATTATGACTGTGGAGGATCCAGAGTATGTCTTACAAGACTTCCCAAGTTCAAGGTAGTGTTACTAGTTTCACTACTCCAAAATTTATCAAGATATCCAGGACACAGAAAGTCACAGGGGGAAGAAAAAAGTTTAAGCAGATAACTAGGAGGAAACAGGGCTTAGAATAATGTCAGTTAAATGAAATAAAGCTGAAAAAGACATTCTGTCAATCTGAAGTTCTTAAAGCATAAAAAAAATGTAGTCTATCACCTGTTATACTCTCCCTTACCATTGAAAAAATAAGTCATCAAAATGAATGAGAACAATAGCAATGTTTTTGATAGACATTGAATTACAGGAATTTTATTACGAATTTAAAAAATAGAAAACCTATATAATAATTATTTAAACTATGAGCCAATATCTGTATCTTACAGAGCAAGAACTAATGTCCCGATATGCCCCCACAACTCCACTAAAAATGTTATGTCTTTCAACAGGAAAAAAATGTGTATATATATAATATAAAAGCAGGAAAGGCCCTGAAACACACATTTACCTCACTAGGTCCTACTTCAACACCGCAGCACTTTGCTTCAACTTCTTTTCACTCAACATTCTTTGCTTTACCTGATTCAGTAGAAGGACTTGTCTTCCTCCTAAAGGAAGGACTTGTCTTCCATCTCTACAACCATGACCACATTTTCAGGAACTGGTATCAATCCCCCTCTCCAATCTTGTGTCTCTCTTTCTTGAATTATTCTCACTGGCTTTTAGGTAGGCTTAATCTTGTCCATTTAAAATTAGCAAAACAAAACCCTTGTCTGCTTCCTTCAAAGTCTTAAGTGTGATATTTGCATCATTTCTTCCCAGAAACAATCATCTGTCTAAAACACACAATCTCTTCCTGCTGTTTGTGTCCCTTATTTCTTACTTGCTCATCAACCCACTCCAGTTGAATTTTTAACCCTTTTGTTTTCTGACAATCATGCCAAGATTATTAATATTCTCCATGTTGATAAAAAACAGTGGATGTGTTTCAGTCCACATCTTACTTGATGTAGAATAGCTTGATTTCCTGAAACAATTTCTTCTCTTGGCATCTATTTCATAATTCTCTCCTTTTTTGTTTATTTGCCTTGCATCTCTGTCTACTCCTTTTTTTATATATCCTTTGTGGTTTCCTTGTTTCCTACAGAAATGATACATTTAATACAGCTGTTTCTTTAAGGCTCAGTGACAGGTTTCCTTCTTACTCTGGACTTCCTAAGCATACTCACCCCTATCAGTTGCCTCTACAATCCTATATATACAGATGTTCTACCTGTTTACACCTGTAGTCTAGACTTCACTCTGCATAGCAGATTTCTATTTGACATTGCCAAGGGCCATCTGAACATCACTACAAACTCAACATTATTCCTTAGCTCTTTAATGAAATGACTATTCATCCTTCTCAGATAGTATGAAATAGTGCTGTCTTAAATATGGTGGCACTCAAGCCAACATCTTGAACCATAGGGTGAAAATCACATGCTGAGGATGGCAGAGAAGCAGGACAAAAGGAACCTGAGTTCTTGACACTCTGGAAAACTTCCTCTCTAGCTCTAAATGGACTATCTCTACACTTCTTTAACACGAGAAAGAAATAAAAGTTCATTTGGGGAAAAAAAAGTGTTGGTCATTATTTATCTTTATCTTCATAGATAGATAGATAGAGATAGATAGATAGATAGACACACAGTCATCACCACATAATGATGTCTGGTTTATTAGAGACTGCATATATGACAGTCATCCCATAAAATTATCATGGAGCTGAAAAATCCCTTTTACCTAGTAATGTTGTTGCCATTGCTATATCATATCAAGACACATCACTCACATGTTTGTGCTAATGCTGGTGTCATCAGAACTACTGCACTGCGGTCATATAAAAGAAAACGTAATTATGTGCAATACATAATACTTGATAGGTAATCAAGAACTATGTTACTGGTTTATATATTTACTATGCCTTTTATGGTTATTTTAGAGTGTGTTCCTTCTACTTACTAAAAAAAATGTTTACTGTAAAAAACATAGCATGCCATAGCGTGCTATGTTGACAGCAGCCTCATAAATCTCATGTTTAACCCTGCTCTTGATTGCATCAAGAGGCCATGGGAAGAGATTGACCTATACCATTTTGGTTTCTGTAACTACACTCTTATGTATGCACTGTGAATAAATTGCCTAATGATGCATTTCTCAGAACACAACCCTATTGTTTATATATATATGTGTGTGTGTGTGTGTGTGTGTGTGTATATATATATATATGTATATATATATATATATATGCACACATATAGATATATGCAAATTATACACACGGAAAAATCAGTGTAGCTTGATGCAAATAATAATTAGATATCAATACATATTAAAATAAAAATGTTATTAATTTTTTTTAAACTTTATCCACATTATATTGTATCTTGTATTCCACCAATAGTATGCCATCTTCTACCCCACTTTGGGAAATATTACTTAAATAGCATGAAGATAAGCTTATATGTGATGGTGCAGAGAAAAAGAGTCTGTTCCAAACTACATATGGAAGCTTTGAGAAGACAATTTTAAGACAGCACAACAAGAATAGGGATGAGGAACTGGACCTAAGAAAGAACAGAAGAGAACCAGGGGACAAGGTGAGTGGGAAACAGAAGGATGAAGGGCAGACAGCATTATAACCTTAATTGTGGTCATTTTTGACCCAATGTTCTTGTTTTTAAACTCAAGTTTGATGGGCCTTTTATGACAAAAAAGGAGATTAATAAAATATATTTGTATCAAAAAGACAAATATTTGATATTTAAGAAAAACATGAAGACAAAAGACATAGAAAAATAAAATATGTAATTAGCAGTTAAAATGAGTACAGAAATTGGCATTGCTAATAATCAGAAAAATAGATTAAAATAAAATGTAGATATTGTTTTCCAATTTAAATTAGCAATATTGTGCTTTTTAAGTGGTTATGAGAGAAGCATAATCATTTAAAAAAGCAATACTTTTGGAAAACAGTTTGATAATATTAATTAAAAGAAAATTAAAGTGTTCTTATATTTTCATCTAGTAAACTCATTTTTTAAAATATCCATTTGAAGAAAATGAAAAACAAATGCTTGAAGGAGAAAATTATTTATTAGGTTTAATAAAACAGTGAGATAGCAGGAGCTATCTGGTATATTAATTCAATGAAATTTATGTGGCATCAAAAGTTTTTATTTAAAAAAATTTTTTTAGTTGTAGATGGACACAATGCCTTTATTTTATTTTTATGTGGTGCTGAGGATCAAACCAAGTGCCTTCCACACTCGAGGCGAGCACTGAGTACAACCCTAGTCCCCAAAAGTTTTAATTATGATGACAATACTAACACAGAGAAATAAATATATAACATTAAGTGAAATAAACATGCTAAAATATGAATTCTTATGGATAGTGTTCTTTGACTACTGAAGCCATTTAAATATTATGGTGCTATGATTATGAGTGAAACTTTCAAAAATTTTTATTAATTATTGTAGTATCTATCCCATACTTATCATTTTGTATCTTTTTCTTACTTTCATGGGATTCAGTTTTTAAAATATAATATGGAGGAATTCAACTAGTGTTTTACAAATGAAAGAGCCTCTGGTTCTAACTCCCAGCTTAGAAAACTGTCCTGTTTGTTTTCCACATTAGCCAATTTCTAGCCTTTCTAAAAGTGATGAAATCATTCAGAAATATTCATTGACTCTCACTGACTCACATTTTGATGGGGAAGGGAGGTGGGTTGGCTTAGAAAAATACTTAAAACGCTATTCTTGAATCCATAAAACTTTTAGTTTTATCTGTGAGCAAGACATATGATTAAGACTCTATACAGTCCAAACAAAGAGGTTAAGATTCAAAGAGGAAAGATTATTACTGATAAAAGTAACTAGGGCAAGATATTTGAGATTTATCTAAAAAAATAAGTACATGTCAGATTGTGGGTGAGGGTGGAACGGTAATTTCAGGCAAAGGAGACTGCAGGGGCAATGGATGGAACTAGGGAATGCTGAGGATCTTATGGGAACAGTTCTTTGCTTAGTCTGGCAAAAGCACAGGCTGTACAAGAAAACAGAAAGATCATGTAAAGAAGTCTTAAAACCTGGGCTGCTATAGATAGTGTACACAATTGTTTGCATAAGCAATGGAAGGGGCTTTTGCAGGTTTGTCGAGAACCTTAAGAGTGCTCCACGACTGGATCTCAGCAACACTGTCACCGTGAGGTGGGCTGCCTTGCTGGATTGAGGTGTCCAAGTACGGGAGTTTGAGTCCTTGGTCC